TCTATTTGCTCTGCGGGGCTAATTTAACCTTGTTGAGCATAAAGTCACACAGACGTAGGGCCACAATTATAGCTTATGTGCAAATGTACCTTCAGTAAATTAACAGTAAGAAGCACTTAGAGCTTGGACAAGCCATAACAACTGAAGATTTAAAAGGGGAGATTCCCCACACCGTTTTCTTTCCCCCAAATAGATTCTCTGTATTTATTTGATGTCCCTGTCATCTCCCACTTGTTTTGCTTTGCTTTGCTTTGCTTAGTTTAGGTCAGAGGCTTTGCTGATTTTAGTCTTACAGCTTTGTAAGTGTTAGAAGCCACCTTGGCACCATTACTGTCCTGTTAAACCTTTCATTTTTTAATGGAATTTTACTACCTTTTGCTAGTGATGAAGGAACTCTTTCAAGAAGAGGAAGCCCTCTAAGCTCTTTTTGGGGCTATACCAAATATACAAACCTCCTCAGGAAATTTGAGAATAAAGAGCCCTTTCTTAAGGTCCTCTTGGTAGGGAGCATTGGAAACGCACCAAAGTGGATTCTGAGACCTCTTTGGAAGGGAAACTCTAGTTAGTGTCATCTTTTTCTAAGAGACTGTTTTTGCAAAGTGAACCAGTTGGACCAGAACCTCAAGAAATTCCTCCAAAGAAAAGCAAACTTTCTGCATTCCTGGGGCTCCAGCAATCATGCTAACGCTCCCAAAGGTACGCAGTCGCTCACACTTGAAAACTTTCAACAGTCTTTGCCTGAAGATAAAGTCTGAGACCCACTGGTACAGTTTTGCAGTTGATGCTTTTACTGAATGAAATGTGAATTTCTGTTTATTATATCATAGTGATGGAAGCATATGTTACTTTTGACAAATTTATATGTATCTTTAGGGATTTGACAGGAAATTGAGACTATTGCTAGCAATTTCCACCTACCACAGGTAAAACATCTTCATGGGCAACAGGAAAAGGTGTTGTATTTCCGTTTAGGAAATACATGTTGTATTTTCCTTTAGGAAATTCATCAAGTTTTTTCCTTGCATGAGCAGTTTTGGCATTCAGTATTGCTGATTGCAGCAACAGTATGCCCAGAGATACAACAGTTTACTTCAAACCATTCCATGTGGTTAAAAAAAGTCTTTGAAGCTCTTTTATCTTTAGATTTTTAAATCATGGGTGATAACTTGGAAAAGCTTCACTGATTTTAAACCTTTGTATTTATTTATAGCCATCACATAAAATAACAGTGCTAGAGAAGTAGAAAGGTGCTATTCAGTTTGGCTGGAGCATGAGTAAAGATAACTAATGACAGCAAAAATATAGCTGTGAAATTCACAGGGGAAATGTGAAGTTGTGAGAAACTGACCACACAATTGCTATTCCCATTTTTTAAATATTAAAGACAATGTAAAGGCCATTTTAAAAGGCTTCACAACTTTGCTCCAAGTTACATCTTTAAGAAAATATATTTCTTAGTATTCAAATATAAGTTAAAAAAAATCCTAAAAATTGTCTTTGACCAAAAGGTGATGGTTAAGAGTAATTGAGTCTGTCCTATATGCTTTTGATATGAGATTTATACCTTTTCAAGACATCTTGAAAACTCATTCAGCCATCCACAATGGCTCCAACACAATTGTAGAAGCACCATGGATTTGTTTACACGAGTAGAAGAGATAGGGGGAGCTAGGAGTGGTCAGGGACAAGTGGTAAGTTGGTCTGAGAATGAAAGAAATAAAGAATGGATGAAAGAAATAAAGAATGGGTGGGTGTTCTTGACCTACCTGCAAGAAATTACCTTATTTCAAATAAGTGAAGGTTGAAAAAACCCTAACACTTTCTGTAGCAATCAGTTAACCATGTTATATTGTTTGGTATTCATATAACCTATACAGTATAGCACTTAATATTTACCATATGACTAGAAAAGCCCTTCATTCCTAGGCTGGAGATTTTGCACATGTTTTGGGGCATTGGGAATCCAGAATCCCTTGAGATTGCAAAAGAGTTTCATGCCATTACAAAAATCCCACTTTAATGCCTACCTACATTTTCTTTCTTTGCAATGGGACTCCCCAAGTGCAGTGAAATTTTTTGAGAAAGACCTTTCTCACCATACTGTAATCCCACAGGCAAGGAACACCCGTGGGAGAGAAAGGTACTGTGGGAGAGAAAGGTACAGTGGCTTGTCCTAGATGTGACCAGCTGAGAACGTCAGGATTGTGCTGTCTGCCCTTACAAAGTATTACATCTGCTTTCGCTCCCCGAGTGCTCTGCAAGACTTTGCAGCCTATATCTAGGATTGTGCTGCTTGTTTAGTACTGTAGCTAAAGCTCTGCACACACTGTAACTTATGATTCCCATATTTTCAGATCACGTGTTTCACGTCTTCCTCTTTAAAAAGTCATTAATTAAAGGACTTCTCTTCATCTTGATATATGGAAACTGGTAGCATATTATCTCTAGTCCAGTTTTGGTGTGTGCTAATTATGTTTTCATGGATTGCAGGAGATTTTTGCTTAGAAATAAAATTTGGATTTGAAGCTGTTTAATACAACCCACCTGTTCTGTCAGCATCTGTACTGACAGGTCCCTCTTCGCACTAAGTTTTTAAGTGAATCCATGATTTTTGTAGAGTAATTAATTTGTCTTTGGAAGTAAAAGAAAGATTGACAGTATCTGAGAGAAAGGAGTGGCCACCAAATTTGATTAATTGGTGTTTATTCAGGTAGTGGGTAATTGTTATTTACAAACTGTATGAAAGACTTTGAAAATACATATGACTTCATTATAAAGTCAAAATTTTATTTGACTGATTACTGAATCAGTTAAAATTACAGATTTTTCAGATTTTCACATCCTAGAAATTTATTTGGAAGTTCACCTTATTATAGACTGTGAATTTTTGGCTCAGCTTGTTGTCAAGATGGCATTCCAACCCAACTCAGAAAATCCCATGGAAGATTTGGTGTTCACATGTTGGACTTGGGTTGAGGCCATCCCTAGTGGGGAGGGCCTAGTAAAGGCTAGGCAGGGTAAGCAGCACATGCGGCATGGGAATTGTCTTGTCCTAGGCTAAGTTATGACAATTTCTACATCTTCCTTGTCTTTTTTGATACTAGTTTAAACCACGTACAGTGAGTAACTCTGAAACAGTTTCTAGCTGGATGTCAAATGCCGTACTGAGAAGTGGCACAGACTGAAAGCAGGCATTGATTGTGCGAACAAAGCCTGATAATACTTCACATTTAGTCTTTATTAGGTAATGTAGCTGAAGCATTTAGAATTAAATGTTTGACAAAGTATTATTTTTGTTAGATCATTAATCTGGATTGACCACTGTGATATTTAGATGGGACACAAATGTTGTTTCTGGATTATTCTTCTGCCAGATCAGTTGCCCATTTATTTTTAAATATTTATGATCATCTCAGTTTTGCCCTGTTGTTGGTAATGGTTATGTTCATTTACTCTTACTGTTTCCCAAGTTCTGGCCGTAGAAGTTGAAGTCTTTTCAGCTCACTTCTTGACTGTACAGTACGTGCATGGGATAGCTCATCTTCCAGAGAGCTCTGAAAGCCAAGGCTCTATCTCTTCTCCCAGCATATGCTGAATGCAATTAGGCACCAGTTCAGAAAAGGCTTTGTAAACATCCTGAATCCATGCCACGTTTTCTGGTCTCAGGAGCTGCCAAATGCCTAAATGCTGTATTCAAGCCAGATGTCTAAATATATAAAATGAATGAGTGAACAAAGTGTCTCCTTAGCAGAGCATATGCCTATAGGATGGACAGACCTGAGGGGCCTGAGGTCAGCTCCAGAACATGATGTTCTGCCAACCCACATCCTTGGCCACTAGGAGGGAGACCAGAATATGCTCTCTCCTGGAAGTGCTGTGTGAGGAAGGAGCACCTTCCCTCTCATGTTTTCACTCTCTTGGTATGGAATATCAAGCCTCAGGAATCCTGCTGGTAGCATCATAAGGCAAACTCTGTCAGTCCTCAGTGAGTACACCTGCCTCTGGGACAC